ATATAGGGACCAAAACTGTCAAGTTTAGCAAAAACGCTCGAGTTTACCGAGCTGCATTCGTGCCCATGCACGAGTGCGGTGTTTTTGGTCTACGGAATCCAAGATTTGCACCCCCCCTGCACGCGGGTAAGAATTGTAGCTTAACCTTAGACACAAGCGTGTAAGCCTTTCATGCATTAAAGCTTATAAACCTTATTTGGTTTGGTCTTTCTACCAATGTGGGAATCATTCCCACATTCCTCTCTTTTTGCTAAATTTATTCTCAAATACCCATCTTTGAGTATCGATATCTCATTCACATATACTTTATTTTGGACATATAATATATCGTTTTGAAGTCCTCGTGGAGGAGAACACAAACCCGCTTAGAGTTAGTTATATATACAACATATGTATATATTTATATATGTCCAAAGTTAGTAAAAATATAAATATTTATACTAAATTTTCCAACAATCCCCCACATGAATGGAGATCGATCTCTGCACATCCAATTTCTAAACAAAATTTTCAACAGTTGAATCCTGCATAGGATAAGTAGGTATTACCCTTTGAACCCTCCCTTAAGAAGTTATACTTAATCTCCTAGCAGTTAGTAGATCTCGATGTCTTTGAACTAAACCGCCATTTATGTAGACGACAATGTAAATCTCACAGGATTCTCCCTGACATGGTCATATCCTCATAGTCGTGTTTGTTTTGGTCATGAACACTAGCCTGGTTCTGCAAGAGCTTTAGGAATTATGCCCCAATAATTCCCCTCGAAGCGTCCCCACTTTTCTCTCACATAGGTGATTCCAAGAATCATTAAAAACCATATGTTTAGCCTAATTTTGTCACTACATATAGGAATGGACTAGGAAGTAATGTTAACTCCCCCACAATGACATGCCTCACTCATACAGTTAGGTTATCCTTTTGAACCCAGATCTTGGGATCTCCAGTCTTCTGGGTAAGGTTTCCTTCGTATGAAATTATTCATTCATGGGCTTTAGTCTATTTCCTCTTGACGACTTATAAACTACATCTCTACTCAAGCCTTTTGTAAGCGGATCCGCAATGTTATCCTTTGACTTCACCCAGTCAACCGTGATAACCCCTGTAGAGATTAGTTGTCGTATCGTTTTATGTCTACGTCTAATGTGCATTGATTTCCCATTATAATTGTACTTTGAGCTCTACCAATTGCCGATTGGTTATCACAATGTATACATATGGCCGTTACCGGCTTGGGCCATTCGGGAATGTCCTCTACAAATTGACGTAGCCACTCCGCCTCTTCAGCACAAATATCTAAGGCGATAAATTCAGATTCCATCGTGGATCCAGATATAACTGTTTGCTTGGATGATTTCCATGCTACAGCAGCACCTCCAAGTGTAAACACATATCCACTTGTAGATCTGGAATCTTTTATGTCAGATATCCAATTTGCATCTGTGTATCCTTCGATAACTGCTGGATGTCTGCCATAATGCAGTCCATATTCTCGCGTGTATCTCACATACCTTAGCAACCTAGTAATACTCTTCCAGTGTTCAGAACTGGGTTTACTAGTGTATCTACTTAGTCTGCTCACAACATACGCTAAGTCAGGTCTGGTACAACTCATTATGGTATTCTTGTGTATTTCAGGATTCTTAGAATTTTGTGCATATCCAGTGAATACACAATCCACTGTTTTAGGGCCTAACTTTTGTACCTTAGGCGGTGGTACTACAACTTTAGCTAGGCACCCCCACACCCGTAAGTACTTATATGATGGCTTTCTTCCCATCCAAAGTTCATACGGTGTTTCATTCTTTTCTTTGCGAGGTATCTTATTTAGAAGATAGTTAGCCGACAAAATAGCTTCCCCCCACATTGACTGGTTTACACCCGAACTAATTATCATGGCATTGACCATTTCTTTCAAGGTACGGTTCTTTCTTTCAGCAATTCCATTGGATTGAGGTGAATAGGGTGATGTGAATTCATGACGAATTCCATTTTTCGCACAAAATTCAAGATAGGGAGAAACATATTCTCCACCCCTATCACTTCTAACCACTTTAATTCTCTTGTTGAGTTGATTCTCAACTTCATTTTTGTACAAGACAAACTTGTCTATTGCTTCATCTTTACTCTTAAGTAAATATATGTAGCAATATTTCGTGCTAGATGACGAGGACATCATTTGGGAAAAAGGCTTATCACATCGTCCACCTCTCACCCTTACCTCATGGTCTAACTCATCATCCAACTCATATGTCATCTACCCATGTTTTACCCAACATATTATGTAGATATAAATACATATACAGTTTAAATCATATAAAACTTGTATAAAATCGTTCCTCCAGCATAGATAGCAAGTATACAGATAATATGCACACATAGCACGTAATTTATATAAAATACTTCATATCTATGTGTAAGATGAAAGTAACTATGCACTCACTTGAAAAGGTGGTGATTCTGAACTCAGACAGCGCTTCGCTTCTTAAAAAAATAATTTCCTTCGACGAAACCTAGTATTATTACCACTAGAGTTTAGTCTATTATTCGCCGAGACTAATTAATAGTCTAGCTATTATTACTATTATATAAGCGTTAAACAATACTTAGATAACCCATAATAATAGCTCAAGTACTTATTATAAGTTCCTAATAACGTTACTATAATTAAATAAAAGCTATATTAAAAATAGCGTAGGCGTAGCTCACTTACAGCGGGTTTTATAGAAAACCGGGCTTTGCTTGGAGCAGCGTTCCCGAGCCGAAAAGCTCTTCTTCTCGGAGCCGTCGAGCACTCCGGGGCTTCCCCCTCCTGCTAGGGAGGTTCCATAGGCTTTGCGCGGGGGGGGGGGGGGGGGGAGGGTTCGGGGCTTGAGAGAGGTTCTAGAGAGAGAGTAAAGGGAAGAAAGAATGGGAAAGGTGTGAAGAAAATGAGGGTGGGAGAGGTTCTATTTATAGGGTGAAAAATGGCTGAACTTGGTGCCACATGTCACCATCTAGTGGCAAGACTTGGGGAGAAAGCAATGGCCAAGATTGTGCCACATCACCCGTTTTCGCACACCACACTTCCGACTTCTAAAATCCGTAACTTTCACATACGACCTCCGTTTTTGACGTTCTTTATATCCACGCGTAGGTAAAAATAAGATATACAACTTTAATTTTGACTCCGTCGGCTAATTCTCGACCGATCTTAAATTTAACAGTACGAGGAGATTATACTATTAAATGTCCGCGTAAAATTTATAACTTCTACATACGGACTCTATTTTCGTCTGTCTTTTTACCATTGAGTTCCTATTAATGAGATCTTAAATTCTCATTTAGGTCACGTAGGCCAAAAACCGCTCGATCTAAAATTCGAGTTTCGGGCTGTGCACTGCTAAGCCAAATCTTAGAAAAATTCATAACTTCCTCATACGAAGTCAGATTTGGGCGTTCTTTTTTTTGTATGTTCTCGGTTTAACGTATACTACAACTTTTGTTTAGATTTATAAGGCTAAAAAATCTTCCATCGTAAATTCACTATTTACGTCTCCCGGTGTCGTGCCGGTTTTGCCATAAAACTTCGACGGACCATAACTTCTTCGTTATAACTCGGATTTCAACGTTCTTCATATGTACGGAACCCTTGAGACGTATTCTACAACTTACTTAAGATTATTTAGTCTAAATAATCTTTTGTCAAAAAGTCGTTTTCGACCCCTATTATCTCTAAATTGACTAGCCTGGATCTACGGGCGTTCCAGTAGCAGCTAAGGACTTTCTTTCGGGGAGCTTCTGCATTTGAGGTGAGTTTTCCTCACTGTACTTTTGGGTCGAAGGCACCAAGGCTGGCCTATTGGATTAGATATCATGTTATGTGATAGTATGTTGTTGTTCAGTAGTGATCTGTTAGATCGGTATCCTGGTTTATAGGATAATGCTACGAGTAGTGATCTGTAGATCTGCCTATCTATCTGTAGACTGTTTATATGTTTATCTGTCATATGTCGGCATGTTGTGTTGGGTTGAGGTTGTACTGCTCCGTGCTGTAGCCAACAAACCCATAAGCATTCCAGATACGAGCTGAGTAACAAACCTAAGAGCATTCCAGATACGAGCTGAGTACCAGGAAGTATGCCAAACTCGTACTTAGGGCTTGAGGGTATTCCATCCCGAGGATGACTGAACCCGTATGTATTGGTATTCCAACCCAAGGGTTGATTGGGCGTGGGGTATTCCAACCCGATGGTTAATTGGACCCGATATGATAGTATGGATTGTGGTGAGACTGGATTTCTTTGTGTATCAGTCAACAGGCCTGGGGTATTCCAACCTGATGGTTGAATGGACCCGAAACGTTTGGTATTCCAACCCGATGGTTGATTGGACCAAACTGCTTATGATACGAGGGTATTCTATCCCGACGATGACTGGACCCATCGTAGACATGCATGGTATTCTATCCCGAGGCTGATTGGGCCAGGCATGAGTATTTGAGTATGTTGTTATTTGTATATGTTATATGTTTGGGTGTTTGTACTTTGGGGGAACTCACTAAGCTTCGTGCTAGCAGTTTTGGTTTATGGTTTCAGGTACGTCAGTGGATCGTGGCAAGGTGAAGGCGTGACCGTACACATCCTCACATTTTGGACTTAGGATTTATGGGAAACTCTGATAATGTAAATGTTTTGAAACTATGTTGAAAGAGATTCTGATTTTTAAATAATGTTTTGGGAACAACGGTTTTTGTAAGCACTTCTATAGAAAAAGGGTTGTTTTGAGAAGTTTAAATTTTGTGAAATTTTATGGATGTTACAATTGTTTGCAATTTACATCATCTAGTTCTTTGGTGGATTTCTGCTCAAACATCATGCAAGTGATCATAATAGTTTCCTCTTTCAGTTGTTCATGTGCTTTCATATATATCTTATTTCAGTCATCTCCTACCTCTACGTTTTCAAAATCAATAGGGGTAAAGTCTGTTTTGTTTCCATTACATCGCAGACCCTTTTCCATCTATGGTGATCACAACAGAAGGAATTGGTACGAAAGGGTGTTTTGTTGAAGCGCAGGTAAGGTTTTTCGTCCTGTTTCTTAATTTCTTAGTTGATGTGATTGATTAATTCAATAATTCTTACCATACGAATAAAATCAAGAAATTGGCTGATTGTAGGTAGGATTTTTCTTTCCTGATGAAGCAAAAGTTGAGGAACTTAGGAATTTACTAAAGGAAAAGCAAATTGGTGTTGTTGGTGTTCTCACTTCTACACAAAATCATTGGGTTTACTTCTTGACCAACCATGTTTTCCATAGATATACAAAATCAACCTATACGTATCTTGTTCATCTAATATTTTAAAGTAAATAGTGACTTTACATGAGGATTATTGCAGGTTGGTGTGTACAGAAACCCTTCATCGGGGTTGTTTGCCACTTCATATATAATTTGGGCTTTAGCCAATGTAATCCATCTAAAGGCTTTGATCAATATTCAATTTCAGTTTAGGTTATTGGAGTTAGTGTAATGATAAATATGTAACTTCAACTGAGAAGAAACACCAGAATGTGTATAAAAGTTTGATAAAAGGCATTGATGAATTTGTCCTGGTTCTTTAAAAATGCCAAAGGGATGATAACAACTCTTAGGAAGAAGAGTACTCAATAGTGTCTAGTGAAACCAACTAAAAAAGAAAGTTTCAGAAATTTACAATCAAATGTCATGTGCACAACATATTTGTACCCAAATCTTTAAGCAAAAAATAAATTTTAATTTGTTTTTGCAGTTAATTGAAGCATCTGTTGTGATTATGATATTCAGTTTCTTTTGGAAAGATAAGAATCAAAACTTGGTAATTCATCATTTTTCTTTTTTATAGTTGATTATATCATTATATCTAAAAGCTATTCTATACAATCAACTAGGGTTTAATACTTTCATTATTTGTTTTAATTATTTTTTAGTCAAGAATATGAAGTTGTACGTAACAATTAGTTTCCATTGGCATCTTGGTAATTAAGTATATGTTTTTTGTAGCAAGTTCACCAAGGCGTTGTAAGATCAATAATGGATGATGTTGGCTACACGATAATGAAAATGGGAAGTGTGTATGTTTCATCCAGGGAACCACAGGATGTTGTAGCAACAGGTGGCAAATGCTATGGTTTGAAATGGGTCACATGCTAGTACTTACCAAATAAAACAAACTATCATAAGTGATTCGATTAAGTAACTATGTTCTTGCATTATCTGTAACTTCCATTTATGATTCTTCTTCTATTATGAAACCAGAGGCTCAAATGAACGCCATGAAAGAGAAACCAATTGACTTAGAAGCTGTAGAACCCAAACCAGAACCCACTATTGAAGTTTTTTTTCTCTGTAGCTATGAGGGTTGTGGGAAAACATTCATTGATGTTAGAGCTTTAAGGAAGTATTCTCATATTCATGGAGAAAGATAGTTTGTTTTCCATTATGAGAACTGTGGAAAGGTAAATTTTCTCATGATATTCTCTCTTTATCATAACTTATCGACACTTTAATCAAATATTAATTTCATTACATGGTTTTCTTTGGTTAATCCTGTTGGATTAGTGTCTAAGTCTATAACTATAATTGGTATGTACTTGACCCGACTCGGCATGGTCCATTTGGGTTGCATGGCATCGGAACATTTGGATAGACCGTTTATGAGGAAAAGACATTTTGTGACATATTAATATATTATAAGTTCTAATATATTAATATGAAATCATGTTATTTAATTAGTATTGATCAAGAATTAATTTGGACTTAATTTAGTGATCAAAAAGAGACTAATTAAATATATGGGGATTGATTGTGTAAATCATTCATTCTTATATATGTGGGCTTATGATCCAAGATTCCTTATATTGGGTTTAACCCATGTGGTGATCCATGGATACTTCATGGAGGTTAAAACCCATGGTGCATAAGGAATGGGTAAAGTCATGAGTTACATGGTGTAACCCTAATAGCCACACTATATAAGAACCCCTTTAGTTCAAGAAATTGGCACTAGTGATATATATGTGAGAGGGCTAGCCGATTTGAACATGTATGTCTTCTTCTCTTGGTTATTCCATGTGTTGGTGATGTTGTGTGAACCATTTGAGGTGTCACACTTGGGGCACTAGGCTCTCGAGCTACATGGAGTCAAGCAACAACAACAAGGTATGTATTCTATCTATTTTATTATCCTAGCATCGGTGTTTTGGTATGCTAGTTAGGATAATACCTTGGATATTCATATTTGCATGTATAATAGAGAAAACATAGATCCAAGGTATTTAGGGTTGCATGTACACTTAGGAGTGTTAGAATGCTCAAAACCCAACAGTGGTATCAGAGACTAGGCTTGTTTTCTTGTTATACTTGCAAAATTGGCTTAAAAATCGAATGTTGATGCTGTCTGCACAACAGACTCGCCGAGTCCACTGATGGACTCGCCGAGTCCAAGGCAAAAAGCATCCAACTCGCCGAGTTGGTTCGTGCACTCGACGAGTTGGACCCCCCAGACAGCATATATTCGATTGTTTTGGCTGAAATTGGACTAGGAACATTACCCTAAGATGTTTTTGGATTTATAAACTTGTTTTTGATGTGGTAATGTTCATGCTAATCCAATTTCAAAGATAATTGTCAATATATTCATGTTTTGTATTAGTTAAAACTTATGCTAATTACATGAAAAAGTTTGATGTGAATTATCTTTGTTCATATGAGTTGCTTAGATTAATAGATAAGTTAATTGATTATGTGTTTTCAATCCATTTTAATCTAAGAGATGATTCTAAAATGTGTTTGTGTAACTTGTCCTCAAGTTACATGAAAGCTCACATTTAAGGTTCTTAAAACTCATAAAAGTTGGCAAAGGTTACAAAAATGAAGAGTCTTGTCCTCATTAAATGGTTTTATGACTCCATAACTTGTCCTCAAGTTATGGAGGTTCAAGAGTCACTTCATTAAAGTAATAAAATGTGTAACCTTAATTAATTCCATAAGTTACAAAATAAAGAAAAGTTACATTCTTTTATTAGTTTAAAGTCTTCCATAACTTGTCCTCAAGTTATGGAACTTGAAGAGTCTTTTAATTAAAACTACTTTAAACACATAAGTTATGGAATTAATTAGTTTTGAATAGTTTCAAAAACTTGCCCTCAAATTTTGGAATTTGAAAAGTTTTCACTTATGAATACTTTAATTCCAAGTTAGCCCTTAGAATTTTAAAAGTTAAAATTCAACCCTTATACTTTATAATATTATAAGTTAATAATATTTATATATATGTATAAGAGTAAAGTCAGTCTTACCATTAGTAGGCCTCATTCACGAAGCCGGTCTATAAGGGGGGTATAAGGTTACTGCCTATAAAATGGCAGTTTAATGGGTGTCCACTCTCACCCACCGCTTCCTTGACTGGTGGAGGGTCGTTAGTTGAACGGGTAGGACAAAGACTATAATTCTCCCTTCATTAAAAGTATTAATGATAAATACTAAGTAACTAAACATTTATAAATTCCCAATCTTAGTTACTTAGGAAAATGTGAATTTGGTGCTAACCCATGAAATTACACTTTGCACTTTGTTTAAGTCGGTTAGTGGAGCGTGTGTGGTTAACCGGCACACTAACTCGTATTTAACAAGGTAGGCAAAGGGTAACTTAATGTTTATCATAGTATCGATGGAGCGTGTGTGGTTAACCGGCACATCGATTGAGGGGTAAACACTTAAGGGTACCAAGTATATTTGCATGGTTATTCACACCTTGTTTTGTGATCTTCGGCATCCCAGTCACAAAACCTGAAGGGCACACTCGAGATTGAAACATGCCATTGAACAGTTCAATGAATCTCAAAAGAATCTAGGAGTTTCAAAACCAATTAAAACCTAATAATACATTTCGTTTATCTTGGTGGAAATTGGTGAATCGTCATTCACCTACGTTCAAATATTTTATAGCTTGGATTACGGCATCCCTCTTCCAAGTTATAAAAGTATTGTGTTGGGTCCTAGCCTTAATATTTCATATTGGGTGTCATATTAAGGACTTTAAATCAACTATCTTGAATATCTCCCAAAAGATGATCTTCCCAAATCTCTTGAAACAAGTTTTCCTAAAATGAAGATGATGTCCCATGGAAATCATACTTCTTTCACCTCCTCCAATTATTCTCCCTAACCCACAAGTTCCTGAAAAGTTTAAGGTCACTCAAGCCCTATTGGCAAGCAAAGGTCTATGTGTGATCACATCTTGGAGATGTAGTCACATATTGACAAGCCGAGAGATTTGGGTGTCAAAGTCTAGAGGAAGCTGATGATGAATCACTTTCTCAAATCTGAAAAGATGGGAGAGTACTTTAGTATCATGTTTTAAGATCATCTTAATGATTTTGATACCTTATCACAATTCATCCTCTAAGTGCATTCTGATAGTTAAGAAGAGGAGTTATGAATTGTTGAAGTGGTTAAATCAAGAAGATGATTCATACTTCGTTCCAAAAACAATTCTTAGCGTTATACTCTAAGATTGTAACTTGAGTGACATGTCTTAAAGAAGGTTTAAAACACTTGTCAAATGTAAGAGTAAAAGTGTCCTACTCTTGTACATTTGAAATTGGTAAGTTGTGATGTTTTGGATAAAACAAAGACCAACTAAGGCCAATTGTGTGAAGTGTTTGTCTTGATTAGAATCCGCACTATCTCTTGAATATTTGACAAGAGAGTCTTATATGTCAAGAGGACAGTGGGAGTCTTAAAAGGTCTTGAAAGTCTCAAGAACTAATCAAGAATCAAAACCTGAGGTTCTTCACTAGCACACGACTTGAGGTTTATAACCTATCGTGTTGACATATTATGTGCCCATTCCAGTTAAAGTTGTCTTTGCATAGGAGTTCTGGAAGTTCTCAATTGGTTGCATAACAACTTGGAAGCAATGGCAGACCCTTGAGCTGCCACATGGCAAGAAATTAAGATTGAGTTCAGTCCATATGAGTTTGAATTTGTCATTATCCTTGTCTTGTGACTATGGTTTTGACAATTCACATGGATAAGAACACATACACCATTAAATCTAAGTGTCATAAGGTTTCTCTCCGATTCATGAAAATGATGGTGAGGAAACACTTTCACTAAGTAGATTTTAGCTAGATAGCAATTGTGATATTTGCATTCTCAAAGTCGTTAGTGGAGCATGTGTGGTTAACCGGCACACTAACATGGACTTGTGAGAAGTGGCAAAGGTCTAAACAATTGAGACTATGATTACGGCATCCCTTTTCATAGTTATTAAAACTGTTTAGACACACAAGTGTGCTATCTAAGGCAAGGTGTATGATTTTGATAAAGTTTTATCAAAGCAATCTAGTATCAGAAATCTGAACTTTGGTAAGAAAGTCAATAAAGTTCTAGAAGTTCAGCTGATTTCTGAGTACATGTCAAAGCTAGTGGGAGCATAAGTGTTATGCTAATAATCATCGTGTTAGTGGGAGCATGATAATTATGACAAAGGTTGCAAGTTAGCAATGTTAATTATAGAAAACAAAAGGTTTCAATTGGGAAAAAGTTGTTTTGCTATAATTAAGGGAGAGGAAATTATACTTCATCTCAAATCTAAAAGTTTAGATTGAGGTTTTAAATCGTATTTAGTTAAGGATATATATATGAATTTCATGTTGGAATGGCTCAACATAAGGAAATTCTATATATGGGTCCATTATTTGCGTTCTAAAATTCGATTATGATTACGGCATCCCTTTTCATAATCTGAATTATGAGAACTTGGCAAATTGAAATGGAAATATTATAGCAAAAGACTGGTTTAGTCTTTATGTGACACATCATGAATCGTGTCCCATATGCTTCGGATATAGGATCGATTACATGTGTTATATTCATCCTTTCTAAAATTTTCCAAATGTCTGGGGCATTAAGAAGGGAAAAGGTTTAGAACTGGATATGACTAAAAGGATTAAGCAATTGTCGAGGACAATCTAAGGTTTACCAAAGATTCGTTGCTCAAGGACAGTTGGAAGTATAGTGTTAATTCTGGAAGGACCATATTGACATAATCTGTAAGGAGGCAACTCTTGTTCAGAAGTGATAGTCAAAATGTAATATGGAAATGTTTCAAAGTTAGAAATTATTCAATCTGTGTAAGATTAGGAAACTTAATGCAAGAAGGATGTTTCCAAGGAGTTGATCTCCTTGGAATGCTCTGTAATGTTTGTTGTCAAGTCCTTGTGACTTTGTGCATAATCATTACAAGAGGATCAATGCATATAAGTTTAGAATCTAACAGATTTCAGTAAATGGCATGAATTTGGAATTCTTGCATTTGCAGTAAGGATTTGGGACTGTGAAAAGAGAATCATTGAAGTTATGTTCAATTGATCTATTTCACAAAGTAAAGATCATAGACAAACATAGTATGCATACTTGGTGTATGGCATGACTAGTGTTTAGAAAACATAGTGTACATGCTTGGAGCATGGGATAACTATTGTTTTAATTCAAGTATAAAGTTGATAGTTTGAAACAGTATACAATGAATAATGTGTAATCATATGGTGATAAATAAAAGGTGTTTTATTTATATTCATAAGTTCCGAGACCATATTGGATTCGATTATTATTGTGTTTCACTTTGCATGTTTTGACTTCCAGAATAAGTAGGTCATTCTTCCTGAATGATTAAGTTATTCAAACTATCCACAGTCGGTCATATGTTGGAAGTAGATATGAATCAAGACTGTCATGGGTGGGGCTTGTAGAGGTCTAAGATGTGGGACAAGGTGGTGCTACAACACTCATGAGTGCTCATAAGTTCTGAGTATTGGATTCAACACGCGCTCATTGGAATCACTTCATGGATTTTATCACGAGTGATCATGAGACGATAATATCTTATATTCTTCAAACCTAGAGATATGAGTTGTTACTATGAGTTGGTTGTACATTGATTTCACGAAAACGCATTCGGTAACTCGATGTTATAAAACGTGCCTTTGTGTATGATTCAACAAGTAGTAGAACAAGCCATATGAGTCGAAGTTTATCCATTCCTTTTACCTTCGGGATAAAAGCGATATCTGTGGGCCCCTCGATGATTTGGTGATGACAAATGTAAGTGCTCGATCGGGCCTGGACTGATTTGATTTGTTCAATTAGTCATTCGTCATAAATCGGAAATCGGGAAACAACAAATGGACAGAGAGAATGATTATAATCCATGTCTCAGTCCATATGATATCTAGAATGGAGGAATATATGATCCCTTATCTAATGGACAAGTCATTGACAAAGGTCAGAGTTCATCTACAAGGTCAGAGTTCGACAACGGCTTTTGAGAGCTACGATTGCCAGTTGGTTCCTGAAGTCATACGCAATAATAGTTTTAGACTTATCCAAGTGGGAGACGGTTGGATTAGTGTCTAAGTCCATAACTATAATTGGTATGTACTTGACCCGACTCGGCATGGTCCATTTGGGTTGCATGGCATCGGAACATTTGGATAGACCGTTTATGAGGAAAAGACATTTTGTGACATATTAATATATTATAAGTTCTAATATATTAATATGAAATCATGTTATTTAATTAGTATTGATCAAGAATTAATTTGGACTTAATTTAGTGATCAAAAAGAGACTAATTAAATATATGTGTAAATCATTCATTCTTATATATGTGGGCTTATGATCCAAGATTCCTTATATTGGGTTTAACCCATGTGGTGATCCATGGATACTTCATGGAGGTTAAAACCCATGGAGCATAAGGAATGGGTAAAGTCATGAGTTACATGGTGTAACCCTAATAGCCACACTATATAAGAACCCCTTTAGTTCAAGAAATTGGCACTAGTGATATATATGTGAGAGGGCTAGCCGATTTGAACATGTATGTCTTCTTCTCTTGGTTATTCCATGTGTTGGTGATGTTGTGTGAACCATTTGAGGTGTCACACTTGGGGCACTAGGCTCTCGAGCTACATGGAGTCAAGCAACAACAACAAGGTATGTATTCTATCTATTTTATTATCCTAGCATCGGTGTTTTGGTATGCTAGTTAGGATAATACCTTGGATATTCATATTTGCATGTATAATAGAGAAAACATAGATCCAAGGTATTTAGGGTTGCATGTACACTTAGGAGTGTTAGAATGCTCAAAACCCAACAAATCCATTAGACCATTTAAACTTTCGACTTATTTTGCAGAAATTTTTAGATAGCTCAAAGTTAAAGAGACGTTTTATAATACATACAAGCCAACGAGGTTTTATTTGTCCACATGAAGGTTGCGGTAAGGTAATCACCCTTTTTCCCATCAACATCAGTCTCAGACGTCAATACAAAAGCAATACAACTGTCATCTCAGTATAAAGCCATGTTCTTTCTAAAATTTGCTTACTCAATCATTATTGCAGGCTTTCTCATTGGATTTCAACTTAAGGTCACACATGAAAACTCATTCTCAATATAACTATCACATTTATGGGAAAAGCAATAAATAAAACTGTTACAATCGTGGAGTTCATAAGGGTACATTTAAGGTGTATTTTCAATTATGAGGATGAGAAGGGCATTATCATCTTTTTGCTATATACACGACTGAAGTCTTCATGTGTTTCAGAGAAGAATTGTTGATCTTCATCAAATTACGTCCATTGGATCCACATATATAGTCGATACATGGGAACCCTTAGAGGAAAGCTTACTCTCGTAAGATAAACTTTAAAAAAAATCAATATTTGAAAATTTTACACATGAAAATATGTTTTTAATTTGTATCTTTATACAAATTTTGTGTTCATACAGTCTAAGAACCACAAGTAGGGTTGTACACGAACTGAATGTTCATCGAACTATTCGTGAACCTTTCGGCAGGAAGTTTGTTTATGTTTGTTTATTTATTAAATGAACGAACATAAACACAAATTCTTATTCGTTTAGTTAAACGAACGAACATGAACAATTGCCTCGTTCGTTCAATTATGTTCGTGAACGTTCGTTTATGTTGTTCATTTACGTTCATATACATTCCTTTTATGTTCATATATTCTTAATTGTGTTTGATTATATTAATATGTTATATGTTCATATATGTTCAATTATGTTTTTTTAATCTTTGTTCATTGATGTATTCGTTCGTTTATATTCGTTTACCATGTTCACGAACATAAACGAACGAACATGAACAAGAAAACTCGTTCGTATTCGTTCATTTGTTCAACTAACTTAAACGGAAGAACATGAACAAACCTTCGTTCGTGTTTGTTCGGTTCGTTTACAGCCCTAACCACATGACATGTTTCTATGATAACTATAACTCTTTCCATGAAGGAGCTCAATACATCATCTATCGGGTCAGTTTCAGCTTTTAAAAATTGTTTCCTATAAAGGTATTGTACTTCGAAAATTATATTAATAATTTTTCTTAAAAAAGTGCAATGCTATAATCGGTGGATTAATACATCTAACATGGTCTGAGAAATTGTCAGGTATTAGCCTCCATTGCGAGTTGACCAAGTGAAGGTTGGACCTGAAAGGAGGTATGCGATTTCATTAGTTAGATATCTATTTGGATAAAATGCGACAAATAGCAACATACTTTCATTTTATTGCTATATTTTGATAGATTTTTCAAAGTATATTATTGTCTTTATAAGAAATAAAAACCAAAGAACAATGTTGTAAAAAGAAATATTCTATGTAGTTTTTTATTCAATGGATCCAAAAAACCTCTTGCTTTAATATCTTCACCATTCAAACTTGCACCAATAACACGGGTGGCCTTCATCTAGTTTATATTAACATATATTAGTTATATAAATATAATAAATAATAACATTGATTTTGAGCTTATAAAATTCAACAAAATATCATATTATTAAGTTGTTAGTATAACATTTTGAGATATTACAAAACTTATCTTTTTTAACATATAAAACTATGCTATAAATAATTATTTTTTATCCAAAAAATAGTTTCTTTTAGCCCCAAAACATCAACTTCTTTAGCCCATAAAAAGTCTGTCCAAAATTAATCGGGGGCGGGAGTGAGGTTAGATATTTTGGAGGCGGGGCGGGGGATGCACCACCGGTCCCGTTTGCCCCCGTTGACATCCGTATTCCTACCTATGTTAAATGTTATGTTAAAGGTGACAAGTATATTAAAATATTATTAATTTTATTTAATGTAACACATGTCAACATTTAATATTGATATAAAGATAGATAAAAATAAAATGAGAAATTAAACATTTTCTTTCTATTTATCTTCCTATTCATATGAAATGGTGACATGTGTCCTTTTTTTGTTCGGGGTTAGTGGTTAGCAGTTAATATCACGAAACCGTCAACGTTTGGAATAGAACTCGAGACTTTCAATCTAAGAGGCAAAGTCTCTACCAAGTGGGCTAGTCCCACATTGGCAACATGTGTCGTATTTTGATAATAATAATAATATTTTAATGCACATGACATAATTTCAAATGGGTAAGAAGATATATAAAAAGAGAAGTAAAATGATATTTCATTTCTCATATAAAATATAGGATGATATCTAACTTCTTTTATAAAAATCTGGCTAAATTTATCAATATCCATAATTTCTTACATATTAGTTACCGACAATTTTTTTAAAATTTTTATACGTATACAAAGACCATGTCGCTCTTAAATCAAGGGAACCCAACAAGAACAAAAAAGTAATTGATAGTGCCAAAATTCGATATATATCCAAAATTGTACACGAGTTGCCGGTAGCCATCTATTCACTCTAAAAATAACGTCACATAAAAAATCGTACAAATTAATTGGATTTAATATAACTGAAGTTTTTTCATGAAAGTATTAAATAGGGGAGGGTTTGAAATGCTCCCAAGGAAGCCGGATGGTCGCAACAAGGAGAATGGAGAATGGACGGAGGTCAGGGGGAGAAAGCAGACAAACACTTCGATGAAGGTGATTACTTCCTACTATGTAACGAATATCCCAGATGGAACGTGCAGATACACCCTCAAGGAGGCTTTCAAGAACTTTGGGAACATTATCGATGTATATATCCCAGGTAGAAAAGACAAAGGTGGGGCTTATTTTGGCTTTGTGAAGTTCTGTGGAGTCAAAAACGCTGAAGAACTGGAAAGATCTATGCAAAGAGTCAAATGTGGGCACAACATACTCAAGGTGAACATTTCGAAATATAGAAAGCAAAACCATTCGAACAAAGCCCCGGAGATGGATAGAGAAAGAGATATTCCGGTGCCACCTCCCTCACAAAATCAAAAGCACAATGCTTGGGAAATAAACCGAGAAGGAAGAACATATGCAGATGTGGCGGGTGCTCAAAAGAGAACTTCTTCCAGCATGAATACAGGAATCCAACACGTAGCCCTCAAACATGTACCAGCTATGATGGCATGGAATAGCTACGCGTTAGTCAGGGAAGTACTCAGCCTGCACCATCTCACTGAACTTCCTAAGCTGCTGGAGGCTGAGTGCAAATACTCTAAGAACCTGTTCTATGCCGGGGGTATGAGGGTGGTTATTCGGTTCGACCTTCCCAAGGACGCTGAAATCTTCCTTCGTGAGGAGAATAATTGGAACAGATTGTTAAAATGGTTGCGTATGGGAGTGTTTGATGAACCAAACATTGAAAGACTTGCATGGATAAAAATCACAGGGGTCCCAATTTCCTTACGTGCAGAGGAAAATTTCACCTTAATTGCTAATCTCTTTGGGGAAGCATTGCAAGTAGAAGGGCAAAACTGGCATAATTTGGATTTATCCTATGACACGGCCTGTATTATAACTTCTTCTTTAACCCGTATCAATAGCATGGCGATATGTACGTTCAACAACAAATCATATAAGGTGGGAATTGTGGAGTACGGCTACAACTGGCACCCATTTTTTCACAACACTGCATCTCCTCAAGCAGAAAAAGAACAGGAAGAGGGTGAAGAATCGGATGATAGTGATTCGGCCGGTGACTTGGATGACGATGGAACCTCGGATACATGGGTGAACCCAAACAATGACGATCTTGAAGATGGGGAAATCAATCAAAATATGAATTCAGAAATCATGAACATTGATGGAGGGGCAATAGCAGTAGATGACCCGCAGTTTGCCGAGATGCTGGTGGCTGAAATGCAAAACCCACCGGAGGCCGAGATGCATGTGCCGAGAATCATTGGAGACGGTGTGGGCGCAGTAATGGCGGGAGACGAATCGACTCATATTCATACTCTGAGTACCAATGATACGGAGAAGGTTTCCAAGACAAAAATCAATGATGCCACCCAACAAACTAAACCAATCCCCCAGATCGAATTAGAAGTGCATGGGCTTAAATTTGGTGGGCCTAAAAGTAATAAGCAGAAGTGGACCCAAAACATCTCGACTCCGATCAAATTAAAACCGAACCATTTCGAATTAGCTCCGGATTTTGAACTGGGTGATTCATTAGGGAAAAGAAGAAAAGTCGATCGTAACTTTGCAGCCACCATTACTCCTAGAAGGATTTTCGATCCCCCACTGACTGATTTTCATCGGTCGAAATCAAATTCTCAACAGGTTCCTCTGGCTTCCCACTCAGATCCCCTCTCCTTGGATCTGAACAAAACTATAAACATATTTGAAGCTCTCAGTTGTAATTCCACGACAAATGAAGCATGTTCTTCTTTTTCTAATGAAATCGATAGTACAATCCGCATTGGGAACGAGTTGGGCTTTCAAATTGGCAAAGAGGATGATATTGTGGGAAGAGTATTTGACGGTGTTGGTGCCCTAAAAAATGATCAATGAATATTATGACCTTGAACATCAGGGGAATAAATGAATCTCGCAAGGTGGACTGGATTCGGAGGTTAAAAATTACACACAAACTGGATTTCATTGGTGTGCAGGAGACGATAGTTGCAGATTCAAACTCAATAGACACTTCTGGATGTTGGGGTTCCAGTAATTATGAATGTGATTTCGTTAATCCAACCTGATTCTCAGGTGGGCTTATGAGTATCTGGGATCCTTCAGTATTCTGCAAATCTCACTCAATCCTCAAAAGACACTACATTGCCACATCAGGGATATGGAAGGGTGTTCCAGGTACAACAACTCTCATAAACGTATATGGGCCCCAATCAATTACAAACAAACGTGCATTATGGGTTGAATTGTTGGAATTAAAAAGGAATTCGAATGGGGTTTGTATCATTTTTGGCGACTTCAATGCAGTATGATATGCAAGCGAAAGGATAAACTCATTCTTCTGTCAATATATAGCCTCAGATTTCAATCAATACATATCAGAAGCTGGGTTACATGAATTCCACCTTGGTGGAAGGAAATTCACGTATCTTAGGGAAGACGGACTCAAATCAAGCGAACTAGATCGTTTTCTAGTCTGCCAAAACTTCATTAATATTCAGCCAAACTCCTCCGTAACGGCTCTCCCTCGAGAATATTCTGATCATTGCCCGGTGCTGCTAAAACCATTCAACGCTGATTTTGGACCTTCTCCGTTCCGGTTTTATAACTCATGGCTAAATTGCAAAGATTTTGACAAAGTTTTCGAGTCGGCTTGGATTAATTTCCATGGATATGGTGCTCCCGATAGATATTTCTTATCCAAATTAAAACTACTAAAAGAAAAAATTAAGGAATGGAGAAAGGAGGAGTCGCAAAAAGAAACATGTGCACTAAAACTATTAAAGGAGCAGGTTGATAGGTGGGATTTGGATGCTGAATCTCAACTTTTGTCTTTCTCTGAGATAGAATCCAGAAGGGAAGCCAAGCAAAAGATTAGTGAATTAGAACATGCAAAAAAAATGGACTTACAACAAAAGGCAAAAGTCAAATGGGTGTACGACGGGGATGAGAATTCATGTTTTTTCCATGGGATGCTTAAGAAAAAACTTAGCAAGAATAGAATTCATGGTATCACTATAAACGGAGTCTGGACTTCCGACCCTGATTCCATCAAGAAGGAGGTTTATGATTTCTTCAGAAACAAGTTCCATGAGCCTTATCCAATCCGGCCGAAGCTGATCAGTCCTTTGTTCAAGCAGTTACCTGCAGTGCAATGAATTGAAATTGAATCTCCAATTTCGATTGAAGAAATAAAGTCATCTATATGGGATTGTGGCACAGAAAAGGCCCCTGGACCCGATGGTTACACGTTCAAACTCATCAAGAAGAGATGGGGAAGTATGCAAGAAGACATTGTACGATACATAAAACACTTCGAGGCGACTGGTACTTTCTCACAAGGCTGTAACTCCTCGTTCATCACTCTCGTCCCAAAGGTGAAGGATCCAATAACTCTAGCTGATTACAGACACATAAGCCTAATTGGGTGTATCTACAAGATTGTTGCCAAAATTCTTGCAAATCGCCTTAAAAAAGTTATTGGGTCAATTATAAATGAAGTCCAATCAACATATATCAGTGGCAGGAATATACAAGGAATATACAAGATGGTCCGCTTATCATGAATGAGATATATAATTGGGCGAAAAGACTAAGAAGGCGACGTTTCTATTCAAGATTGACTTCGAAAAGGCGTTTGATACAATAAACTGGGGATACTTAGACTCGATAATGGAGCAGATGGCTTTCGGAGACAAATGGAGGAAGTGGATTCATGGTTGTTTATCCTCTGCTATTGCCTCTGTTCTTGTCAATGGGAACCCTACTACTGAATTGCCCATAACCAGAAGTGTTAGACAAGGTGACCCATTATCACCTTTTCTTTTCATCATTGCCATGGAAGGTCTCCACGTTGCTGCCCAAAGCGCAATAGACAGGCATCTCATACAGGGTGTAAAACTACCACACGCAGGTCTCACCATCTCGCATCTGTTTTATGCAGACGACGCCATATTCACAGGAATTTGGGACAAAGGTAGTATAAAAAATCTTTCTCGGATTCTTAAGTGTTTTGAAATGACTTCGGGTCTCAAAGTGAACTTTCACAAATCACGATTGTTTGGTATTCACACCTCCGAATCCGAGCTTCAAGATATGGCACAAGTCCTTGGGTGTTTAAAAAGCTCTTTCCCATTCACATACTTAGGGGTGCCAGTCGGTGCAAACATGCTGTTGAAAAACAACTGGAAACCTATAGTTGGGAAATTCCAAGAAAAACTCTCAAACTGGAAGGCAAAAACATTGTCGTTTGGGGGAAGGTTAACCTTAATCAAATCAGTATTGGGAAGCTTTCCTACTTATTACCTGTCATTGTTCAAAGCACCACAGGGAGTAATGGATCTCTTAGAAAGGCTCAGACGTAGATTCCTATGGGGTGGAACTGATGAAAAGCGCAAGATGCACTGGGTAGATTGGTCAAAAGCAGTAGCGGAAAAGAAAAATGGTGGTCTAGGGGTCGGAACACTGAAAACACAAAACCTGGCGTTACTTACCAAATGGTGGTGGAGACTGAAAAATGAAAGAGGCAGCCTATGGACGGAGGTCATAAACAACATACATAACCTCAAGAAACAGCCGGCCACATATCTTGGAAAAAAAATGTGTCAGGGGTTTGGAGTAACATATGCAAAGCGATTAGGAGCATCAAGTTACACAATATCGATCCATATGGCTTATTTGGCCTTGTACCAGGTCAAAATATTGATATTCTCTTTTGGAAAGACATATGGTGCGGAGATGTTACTTTACAAAACCGATTCCCACTACTGTACAATCTTGAATCAGTGAAAAAATGCTACCTTATGGACCGGCTGTGTAACAATGGATTCTCATGGAATTGGAAATCATACCCAACTGATGCGGGATCCCTTCTAGAACTCCACGAATTTCACACTTTGTTCAACACATTAGACTTCAATCGTGTCACCAAGTTTGGATTTTGTTTTATGTTTCAATCAGACGGAGTTTACAGGGTCAATATTTTGAGGCGCATGTTGGATGCTAAAATCAATCAATTTGTTGGACCCCAGATTTGTTGGTCAAAACTCATCCCTCTTAAGGTGAAATGCTTCATTTGGAGAGCTGTGTTGGATCGGATACCAGTAGCTGAGGCATTAATATATAGGGGTATAAATGTCCAAAATCAAAATTGTCAACTATGCGGGACTTGCATTGAAACTACAAACCATCTTCTGGTAGAATGTGCTTATTCGAAAGATGTTTGGTACTGGATTCTGAGGTGGTGTGACATAAAAAACTTGCAAGCTCGAAAGGTGGAGGACATCATTATTTACGCTGCAACATGGGGGACATGTCCCAGGAAAAAGAATATCCTGAGTATGATATTTTATGCTACTTTATGGAACATTTGGACTACAAGAAATAATAAGATTTTCAAGAACATTGTTGCTTGTCCAGCTAGAACCGCAGACTCAATCATATCTCAAACGTTCGAATGGAATAAATACAGAGGCAACAACTCGGGGAGTTGGGTGGAATGGAGCTGTTCTCCTCTTTTAATTTAGCTGCTTTGTGTTTCTCTGTACTCTTATTTTTGTTTTTTCCATGTTATCATCCACACTCATAGCAACTTGCTTTAGTTGGGTCTTCTTTATATATATAATATTGTGCCGTTTCCAAAAAATATAACTGAAGTATCTATATATTCTACAATAATAATAAATTAAATATAATGGGATTAAATAGTTAAAATAATGTGCCATTTCCGAAGTCCCATGTTTCCATGCATTAATCCAGGATTGTTGAATTCATTTGAAGAAAGGAATAAGTAATAACAATCAACTAAATTAAAAACAACTTTTTCTTAAATTTTAATTAAAGATAATAAAAGAAGTAATCGGCCTGAGATGCTCTCCCTGGAAGCATGAAACCACACGGAATCTTTGATTTCAATTGAAAGCAAACCCCTTCCCAGAAGCAATTTCCTCTATGATTTCCACATTCTGTTCATTCGCATTTCCAGTCCATCTGTTTTATCTCATTTGCACAATCGACCCTTTTTTTGTCATATACCTTCTTTATCGTTAAATTGTTGACAATGAAAACCAGGATAGTGTGGATTTTGAATTTTTGATGATTTGATATATTTTCTTTAGCAAATAATATGTTCGTGTTTGGATTTGACATTTTTGTAAAATGAACATTTTAACTATAATATAAACATGTAGTTTATTTTGTGATCAATATTCAATATTTAAAGCTAAACTATCGTTATAAAATATGAATTTTGTACTTTGATAGCATAAGATGACATAAATAACGCTATTCGACGGATACCCGTAACCCAAACGAGAGTTGACAATGTAAATACCCGATTTGATAGACGATGGGGAAGGGGACATATACTGATGTTTCTATCTGTCGGGTCCTCAAAACCGACCTGGGTGGATATCCGATATATATATATATATATATATATATATATATATATATATATATATATATATATATATATATATATATATATATAATTTCTGTTATTTTCGTCATTTTTAAATTTAAAAAAATTTGAAAAAAAATAATAAAAATAATAAAAAAATCAACCCCACCATGAAAATTCATTCAACATTCTAAGAGTGTTCTATTACAATATTTATATATATATATATATATATATATATATATATATATATATATAGATATATATATTATTCAACTAGTATAACTTATATTTTTTTTAGAAAGTTTAAAATATTCTAATAGAATATTATATGTATTATTATAGTATCGTATGTTTTGAATTTTTCCTTTGATGAAGTCGATTTTAATTTTTTTTTAAATCTAAAATACAAAAAAGTGAAATTTTTTTTTTAATATTTTTGTGTTATTTTTTGTCATCTTTTATTTCCAAAAAAAAT